CCACAACCGGCGAGGGTTGCGACAGCTGTGAACCCAATAACATGCCTTTCACGAAGCGAGCAGTTCTGTTTCGCACTCAGGGTTGGGCTAGAATCTGAAATGGCTGCAATGTGTGTCCCGATATCTATCCCATTACATTAAATTCTTAAGTCGTCGAATTGCACTAAAATTACTCTGACGGCAATATACCTATTATTATCAGATATCCGAAGTTACGTCATGAAACATAGAGAAGAGATTTCTTTTTAAATAGTTTTAACTTATCAGTTTTGCCGACAATGTCGAATGTGTCAAAATTTTTCTGCAATCACGAATTCAACAGCCGTTATGTACTATGCTTTTACATCGGAAAACAATCGCTCTAAAGCAAGACTTGCCGTGTAAAAAATCGGAAGACTCTACGCGTGTATTGGGCAAACGAAGTGATGTTACGAGTGGTAGATACGCAGATATCGAGCGTTGCGGATGTTACCGTCGATCCTTTTATTGGCGAGATCACCGATGCGGCCATCGACATCAACGCGAAACAGCGCCGGCGCTATCGCGTTCCACGGCACGATTTAGTGGCGATCCCGGCAAAACAATTATATAAATTTCGGAGGGGGGAGAAGAGAGGTTTGGGAACGCAGCAAAGCTCGGGGATAAAGCGGGGAAAAGGGAATAGAGAGGGAGGAAGTGAACGGTATGCGGGATAGGAATTTTCCGAAAAAGCGTTCCAGCAGAGTCATAGATTAAACGCAGCCGAGGTGCACACGTCCAGCCGAGCACGTCGATGCGACGCAGGCAGCCATGCGGCCGCTGTGGCGGCGGGAGCTATCAGTGACACGTCGCGTGTTAAATCGCTTTGTTGACACACATAACCCGTCTACGCGTATCCGATACGCGCGATCGCCGGTCCCGCGTTCTCGGCGTTTATATCGTTACGCCTCTGTGACCACCAGGAATTCAGCATCAAGTTTACTCATGCTGTGATGCGAAATCTTTCACTTGTCCTAGGAGTCTCTCTCTCTCTCCCCCTTTTAACCTTTATTGAATGTACTTTTTAATAAAGTTATAATTAAAGTAGGCAATGATGATAATTTCTTGTTATATGTGTGCTAATAATTTTTATAATAAAGTTCGAGTTCGTTAATAAAAATTTTATCATAAAGTGAAAAGAGAATGCAACGCAAATGTTTGCATAAATCTTGAATACTTTCTCAATTCGATGTGTAACAATCGTAAGTGCACATTTTTAATTTGGATAACTGATAGCAACTTTCGGTTTCCGAAATTGCCGAGAGCGTGTCCTGCAATTTCGTCAACGACGCCTGCAGAAAACTCGATTACAAGGTGAAAGGATACTGATGATTCATAATGCTCATTTAATTTGTTGAATGAGAATTATATATTGCGAAGGGTATGATTCGTTCATTCGCGAGCGTCGCACTTTCGAGGAGATCCATCAGCGTGCAGGCTAGATGTAACCGGGCCGAGTATAAAATCACGGTTACGATCGGCGGCGCGAGAGAGAACAAGACAGAAAATAAAAAAAGAAGGAACTCGCCAGGAGCGGTACATGAATCGACTGGTGCATTATATTCGGATAAAATGATTTTATCGATCGTAAATGCACCGGCACGACGCTAGTCTTATGAACGCTCAGATTTATATCCCTTCGTTTGATCGCGCGAGCTCAAACGGCGACCTTTTTGTTGATGCAATAAAATTATTTCGAAAAAGTGGACGTACGAAGACTTTAAGAGAGGATATTGTGCCTTGTATCCTTTTATTTTATAACTCAATTTGAAAGAGTGAGAGAGAGAGAGAGAGAAAGACAGACAGAATATATGTTTTTTTAATTCTGTGATTGGAGTAACTAATTTTTAAATTATACCGACTTGTCTATCATAAGGTTGGTTGAATAATTATTAAATTATTTATATAACGATTGTAGGTTTTAAATACGAAGCGGTGTACATTCCTATTAATGTTTTATCTATACGACCAACTCCTAGTAAGCATTCGTTTTCTGGAATGCAATGATGGCTGTTTTCCCTGATGTAACAGCAATTCGCATTAGTGAGACTAGAGGTAATTTTATACAGACAAAAATCGATTGTCGATTGGATGGCGAGGTCAGATCCTCATTAACTATGTTTTCTGATTAACTATGGTGCAGGAAGGGATAATTACATAAATAATTTAACTTCACAGTCGTATGTAGCAATCTGATTCAATAAAAATAATTACACCATTATTACTTTACTCTGTATTGATTGAAACCCTCGTTAAGTAAAGCAACATATTCCACGAGATTTAATATCTAATAATAATAAATTTTGATAATGTTAATAATGCAATACTATTCTCTCAAGCATCTTATTTATTTTAATCTGTTTTCTTCTTTAACGATGAAAATTATTTCAACTCACGCGCGCACTCATTCAGTTGCTAATTAAAACAGTCTTTTTACGACAACTCTTACCTACCTACACGTCAGCCGATCCGTTTTCTAACGCATAATCATTACGAGACTGCCTTTTCGATTTCCCGTAATGCGACGCGAACGCTGAGGCTTCACATTAACGCGGCTCTCGCCAGTAGTACACCACGGGAGCGAAATTGATTACCAATAGTACTGCGAGTACGGCGGCTCTCGCGCTCTCGTGTTCGGGCAGTAATGATGTTTTGATGCGAGGACCCGGTGCACTGCGTATCGACTGCAGTTAACTAATGGAAGCTCCCCGATAATTGCGAATGCCGTCGGAGAGTAAATGCTGCTAGCGCGACAGTAATCATCGTTACTCTACTCACGCGCTCGCACAACGATGAAGGAAGTCCTTCTTTTGTGCTTTTTGCTTCTTGCTGCATTATCTTTCAAAAAGTCTCTCTACCTAACAAAGATACATACTAATTCTTTTAATAAAATTATTTTCTTATTAGAAATAATTATTGCGCAGTAATTAATTAAAAATCAATTAAGAACTGATAAAAGGATCTGGTAATAGTTACCAAATGTATGGTGAATTAAATAATGCCCATCAATGTTTAGTTATATAATGTTTAGTTAATATAACCAAAAATATAATATTACTTTTACAAATATTTAATAAATATATTACCAAACTGTTACTATTTGGTAAGACTCTTACTATTAAGTAATTAGTATTTATAATTACTGTTAAATTTTACTACATTTTATCTATGAATACATAAAAGAAATGCATATAAAAAAGTCCTTGTAACGTGACAAGCCTAAGTTTTCCAATTGATTTTCGCTAGGGCGGCCAAACTCTTCAAAGAGAATTTGGGCAGTTCGCGCTCACCGCTTTCGTGTCTCTCTCTCTCTCTCTCTCTCTCTCTACAAGTTTCTTCTTTCCTATCTTTCTCTTTTTCATTTCAGTTAGAAGGTTGTGCACCATTGTTCGAGCGATATTTCAGCTGCAACGGTGGCTGCTAAAGTGGAAGAGCGGGGGTGGTTAGTAGTAGTCAGCTGGTTGTGACACGTTGCCTACCTCGCCAAAGAGGAATCAAAGGCGCTTAGGAGTATGTGTGGGTCAGAGAGAGACCATTGGTTTCATATCAGCGCAGTGATACTTTTGTCCGACGATAGTCGAAAATTTGACTCTAAAACGATTACATTTAATTATTCGTTATATTACATTGATATTTGCACCGCATTATTATATTCAGAATTTTCTAATATTAGAGGGAATTTTTTTACGTGACTTTTGGCTGAATATATAAGTAAGTAGAAATGTATTTGTTACAATTTTATATTTGTATGTAACTTCCTTTGTAGAGAAAGATTTATACATTGTTAAAAGAATTTGTATGCAGCTTTTTTCTTTTATTAGAATATTTATAATCCGAGTTAAATTAATATATATAATATTTTGTGTTTCACATTCAGTGCAACAATGGATGTATATGTATATAATAAGTATTATAAAACGATATTGATATATAATATATATATATATATATATACATATATATATCAATATGTAGTTTGGAGATATTTATAACGCATTTAGATATTCAAATGATGATATTATAATTTATTAGATATTCAATTGATGATATTATAATTTATTTATTTATAATTATCTCTCTCTTTATACTTCTATGTGCATGTTCGCTGATCACTCGTCAAGTCCTTTACTATTCATTCGGTCGAAGCTCTTTTGACTTTCGGTGACTTGTCGAACAACTTATGGGCACTTTCTGCGTCAATGGCTTAACTGCGACAAAGGCCATGTGCATTCATGCGCAAGAGCAAGATGTGATGAAAGTTTAATAATTATTATTCATAAGATTTTCCTGTGAGAATCGGCCAGACATGAGACTAAGCAAGAAAGATATGCTGCAAATAAGAGGGGTGGGAGGGGCGGGGGGTACCATCGCTTCTTCGGGGCTTGCTTATGTCCTCTTCATCCTTTCTGGCAGGGAACTGGAGTATTCTACGACGAGAAGGGGGTGTGCTCGAGTCAGTCGAGCAGAAACCCAATCACTTCCGGCGTCTGCGCCCATTAGGGCGCCGCGACGCTGACGTCGGCTGACGTACGCCCTTCCTCTTCGTGTTTCGCTCATTCTACCGCCGTTCCTCCATGGTTGTTCCTATCTCATACTATATTGAACTTACCCTCTTGGACTTCGACCAACATCGAAACAGACCGCAGATCTATTGTTCGGAAAGCGTTCACATGGAAGCTTCTTCAACGTGGCTAATGACGTATCGAGGATTTTCTTCCTCTTTACCGAATTTTTCCGTTTTCTACTCGCTCATCTCCCAAACCAGTTACAGTTCGCTTATTCTTGATTGTTGCAAAAATGACGAATTGCTTCAAGACAATCTTCTTTTACATTGCGTATATCGCATGTATAACGCGAGATGAAAAGATGTAAATTATAATATTTACAAGACGAACTTATGAAAATAAAAGAAAGAAATTCTTTATTCTTTATTAAATAAATCCCAATTATCTTATTAAAGTTAATTGTTTTGTTTGTTTCAGGTTTATAAACGCGAGACGTAGAATTGTTCAACCAATGATCGACCAGAGTAATCGAGCCGGTAAGACGAATCCACTTCAGCCATCAAACATTTACACACATACATACAATACAAGAGACACGTACAATATTGTGCCATCTATGATGGATATAGTTCATAAATACATTTATTCTCCGGACTTTTCTCATATTTCTTATAAATTAATATAATTTATTTTAATTTAAACAAAATAAAATTTATTTTTTAGTAAGATGCTTTAGTAGGCCAATTTTTGTGTATTTCAAGATCGTTCGATGTTATTAAATTTTTCGATAGCTTCATGATGATGAAAAATGATTATTATATTTAATATGATTTTTTCATTACAATAAAAGGAAACATAACATTGAATTATTGTTAATTCTATAATAAATTAAATTGTACATAAATTTCATACATATTAATTATATATGTGTTAAAAATAAATTAATATCAATTTATGCAGAATTATAGAGTAATTTTTTTATTTAATATATTGTTTTTAAATGATATTTTTAAAAGTCTGATTTATTATAGAAAATAATTAGATTATGAATTTTAAATAATTCAAATTGATATAGTCATTTTTCAAATAATCTGAAGTATGCAATAATTTTATATTAATGTAAATACTTACAATTAGAGCCGATTGTTTCATCTTTCGGTAAAATTTACCTGTTATCTGGCAATCCGCGTACGTGATTGGGTAATCTTGCTATTCTTACCTAATAGATAAACTTTACCAAAAGATGGAACAATTGGCTCTTAATTATTTTCTTTTTGAATATATATTGAAGGTAAACAGTTAGTATGGAAACTTGATTTAACAGTTGATGATTTGCGAATGTGATTGTATAATACGAGTACAATTATAATTGATAATTCAATGCAACAGTCATGTCTAATATCTCTTTAATACTTCATGTAACCAATACTCAGTTTTTACATATTCTTGGTATTATTTTTTAATAAACGGGAACATTCAACTCAAATAAAACCTGTAGCGTATACATTATATTTGTATGCATCCGCAACATCCGTCTTTTCTCTCTGAAATTAAATCACTTCGTGATTCGATCATCAGTCGTTTCACGCTCATGATGGAAATTTGAATTTCACTTCTCTCTTGCATATCTGATTAATATCATGTCCGACAATCATTCCGTTTCGTGATTTAGAAAGTATTATGTATTATCAAGTCTCATTTCACGCGAATGGATAATTTATATAATTCGCAAACTGTCAATTCTCTCTTCAACAAAATTTTTAACATACAAGTAAAAATTACATTTTTAGAACTAAAATTTCTTCTGTTCTAAGTAATTATGATAATCTACATTATATGTATATGCATAATTTTTTGTCTATGAAGACTATGAGTAAATTTTTTTGTTAGATTTGTTTTAAAATATTTTTTAATTGAGCTGCATATAGTGTTTACAGTCACATACTAAGCGTTTATATTTAAAAGAAAAATGTTTTTTTACGTACTGTAATAAACTTATTGACTTTACTTTAAAGATAGATCAATATGAGAGAATTGAAAGTTTGATATCAGGAAAATGTATTTCTTCATCAAATAATCTGTAAAGACGACGCGTTTACGAGAAGAGAATCACTTCGTTTGCAGTAAAAGGCGACAACAACGAGCCTTCGTGTTTAGGGTAGAGCCATTCTCTTTCTTATACACGTACGCACGCGCGCGCGCATACACACACATTCTCTCTCTCTCTCTCTCTTGTTTTCTCTCAGTTAGGGTTCAAGGGATCGGTAGTGATTCGGATGATGGTGAGAGGGTTCTTCCGTGGAGTATCGGGTGGGCAGAGGTGGATAACGTTCCGGATAACGTTCGGATAACACTCGGATAACGGTGGGATAATTGGTAGCGGTGATCAGACCGAGTTTTACGATCAGGGAACATGCTCCCGTTGCTACAGTGGAAATTCTTCTCACTCTATCGGTCGTGGCCTGTCTTTCTCTTAGCCGTGTCTTTGTTCCGCAACGTGGAAAAAAATACTCGAGAAAAAGTTTGGTGAGGGCAAGTCGACTAAACGATCAAAATATACAGAGAGAGAGAGAGAGAGAGAGAGAGACCGATTCGCATCGTATTTTTACGACTGACCCCCTCATAAACACTCACTGAGTTACGGGTTATTTGCTCTGTCGAAACTGGGCTTTAGGGGCGCTTTATCCGTTATCCAAACGTATCCACGAAACGCGCTCTTTGGGATAGCAAGGAATCGGTCTCTTCTTTTTTATGCTTCTTTCTCTCTTTCTTTTGAACTGACGTCCGCTTCTCGCGAGCTTCTGCAAATGATGGCCTGCAGTTTGCTTCCATACTTTTGTACGCTGGATAAAACACTTTGTATCGTGTACTAAACATTCAAGTGTCTTTGTGAGAATCTTCTTCGTGAATATCATAAATGCTTTACTTTCCAGGTTTTATTCAAATTTACAAGAGTATGTTATTAATGTTATCAATGCTATAAGACTTGCGTGAATTGATGATTACAATAACATCCTGTAAGATTTTTGCAGACAATTAAAAATGTTTTCTAAATTGAATTTCAGAAACTTATTCGCTTTATTAAATTTTTTATTATATATACAGCATGCATAAAAAATAAAAAATTGACATCGACACTATTGAGAAACGCTTTCTTTGCTGAGTCAACAATATTAATAATTGCGACGCATACGTATTACTAGTGAATTCGAGTGATAGTTAAAGGGATATTCGCGAGGGAGATGACGGAAGAGAGGCTCGTGAGTATCGGGGGACGAGGAGAGCGAGAGCTTGGCGACCTGAACGTCGCCATTCGCATCGAGTAAAGTGGAAACCCGTGTACGCCAGATTATCATCCCGAGTCAATCCTGATCACAGTTCCATCGTGCCGCAAACAGGCAACCCACGACCTTTCCAGCCCTTCCGCTTGCCGGTGCCATCACCTCCGTTTTCTCGCCTTCTCTTCGACTGGCAAACCAGTTTCACTAGAAAAAGCACATCTTTTGCGCGCGATTGAAATCGATGGAGTTCTTCTGCGAGCTGTCCTACGTTCCGGTCGATTATTGTGGCCAGAGAATGACGCACGGAATATTTTCATGGATAGAAATAGATCTGATGAAGCAGAAGGAACAGAGAGAGAAAGAGAGAGAGAGAGAGAGAGAGAGAGAGAGAGAGAGAGAGAGAGAGAAGAGAGAGAGAGAGAGAGAGAGAGAGAGAGAGAAACATCATGAAGTCCACCAAGTTCGTAAATTCAACCATTTTTCCAATTCCTTAGAGATTCAGCCTGTATCCCTCCCCGTTTACTCCTATTTTGCTCTCCATCGACGATCAGCAGTCCATTAAAGCTTAATAGCCGAAGCATTAGGCCCTAGGGCAGATTTTGTTCCAATGGAAGTGAGATAAATATGTTTTTCAAATGATCCTAGTCCCTCATGATCTGTTGGTAGCAATGCTGAAATTATTATTTATTCTTTAAATGATTGTATTATATTTTTATACCAACGATAAAAAAACACTTTTAAATAATATAAATATAACTTATTGGTTAGTAAATGCAAATTCTTTAATTTTTATGAAAGCTTTTTAATTTATTTATAAAGTTAAATATTATTAAAAACAACAATTAAATTTTCATGCAAATGCTTATTGAGTAAAATTATATTAACATATCTGTTTAGAAAATTAAAGAGACATTAATAAATTATTTTTTTATAAAATATAAAAATATTTTATATTTCGTATTGTTAAATACCTCGCGTCTTTCCTTTAGACTATTAATTAAGCAGAAATTTCACAAGCATAACGCTGTCTGTCCACACGTACTTCGAATTGTGCCATAATCTCTCTCATGAATTCGAGCTCTGCGAAGAAATGTATTAAAATAGAATCATATACACGTTAATTTAGAATCTTAAGACGATGTCGGTGACGACGACGATCGTGCACGACTTGTCGGAACTTGCAAGCATGCATATCCTTCTCGGTTCACTCCTCCGTATCGAGCTAATGATGCACGTCGGTTGGATCATCAATCATACTTTCATTACGTAGATCCCAGCTGCTCCACATTGACTTCGTGGCCCGTGGGGCATTGTTATTATTCCGAGATGAGAGATGCATTCCGCGCACGAGAGCGTACTAACGTTTCGCGCGTTATACAGTCCGTGCGCACGGGAATTCCCGCTTATCAATCCTGATATTGGTTGTAGAAGCTATCGTGATTGGTGAATTTATGATTCATCCCGTTTGTCTTAACGATAATCCGTATCTGCGTTCACGAAGATTGTGACGCATTTTATTTCTTCGGCATGAGTTGTGCAAGTTATTTAATATTTTAAAAATATATAAAGTGCATCATATCGTCTGCAATATTTGTCGCAATTCTGATACTGATGTTTTAATATTAATGAAAAATATATTACTTAGACATTAAATTATGAATAACAATTTTGTGATAATCAATATTCACATAAAGTTATTTCTAATATAATTCTTAGTTTGTATTACTTTATGCGTACTATATAGCATACAATTTTTTTGCGTGAAGATAAAATAAAAATCAATGTATTATACATTTGAGATTACTGTTTTGATGTTCCTTTTTTGTCTGTTTCTTTTATCTTACATCAGAAATAGAATACATTTGGCGACGTTAACGCGTCATCAAGAAGTATAATTATGCACGACTTTCTAGTAAGCTTTATTAAAGTTCTACTATATACAGCAATTGTATTTGAATAGATTATAGTTATTCTCTATTTTCGGCAACAAATAAACGAAATTAATGTAAAATTAATTGTGTGCACATCTATACGGATAGTAAACTCTCGCACGTGGCGTTTTAACGTTATCGTTCCTAATACCGCTCATAAAAGCGCGCGTGATCCCTTTTAAATCCTCCTCCATTCAATCATACACGACCACCGCGTAAACACTCGAACCTCGAACTATAAACTATAAACCGATGGTGCATCGTTTTACGACATACAAGCTGTCGCCGTGTATCCTTCTTGCGAGATTCTATTAGGTTTATATG